GTTGTGAAACTTTGAAATGAAGCTAAAAGACAAGTACTTGAAGAAATATGAGCAAAGGAGGCAGATACTCAAGAAACAATTCCACCTCAATGATGCATAAGAAATAACCAAATGAGAAATTGTTATTGAAGTGTGTGAAGACTTGAAGTTAAAGACATCAAAGTGGAGAAGAGAAAAAAAAAAGGGAGATAGATACATTAGTATTCAATGAACAATTACATCTCAATAATACAAATTAAAAAAAGACTGATAAATTTAAAAAGAAAAGAAAAGAATTCACGAATGTGTGGCAAGAGCATATGAAAGAACCAAATCAAAGACTATTCTAAAGACATGGAGAAACTCGAAGTTAATGACATGTAGTGGAAATGAGACAGAGAAAAAGAGAGATTAACAAGTTAGTTCTCACAAACAATTTTATCTTAACGACACAACAATAATAAGAAAGACAATAACATATGCAAGAATATGTACCTATAGTAATAACATATGCAAGAACCAGTGGAAAAGAGGAAGGGAAAATAGAGATAGATACGTTAGGATTCAAAGAAAAATTATATCTAAATGGAACAAAATAAAACAATGATAAATTTGAAAAGAAAAGAAAAATAATCACATACCTACTGTAACAGCATATGGAAGAACCAAAATCAATTACTTCTTTTGAGATGTGGAGAAACTCAAAGTTGAAAAGAGAAAGAAAAAGGGGGATAGATATGTTGGGATTTAACTAACAATTTCATGTTAGACAAATGAATGCAATGATAAATTTGATTTTTGGTAAACAGGAAATCATTTTTTGGCATTATCGAAAAATTTTCTGCTTTGTTTTTGGCAAACTGTTCTACTAACAATTCTGATTTTTGGCAATACATTCTTTGTGCACGAAAGTCCATATAAAATAAAACAAGACAACGTAAGTAAAATTCATTTGAAAGTCCGTACTTGACTAAATAGGAGGATAAAAATTTCTATTAGTTTTTATAAAGTTTAGGATGCACTTTTTTAATTTTGGTTAGAACATATTAGTTTTGACAAAAGCCCATCCCAATCTCCACTTCATTTCGGTGAAGCTAAGGCTTACTAATCTAAAGATGTGTTTAGCTTAGTAGACCACCTTTAAGTAAAATATCAGGGAGTCCAAGAGCAAAAGTATAATTTAACACACAAGCTGCCAAGCAATTTCATTGCCAAAACGGTCGCAGTGAGCCTATTTAACTACTCGAATTGTCACGTGTAATTGTCCCACGATAATGC